CCTTACATTAACAGTCAAGCGCCCTGTGATCATATAAGATACACAAAATATTAGATTAGGCCTCTCTTCAGACGCCCTGCTCAATAGTAAACTCTCTCCTTAAGCGTCCTCACTTTTAACACTTTTTTTAAAAATCATAGTCCGTGAGCACCACATATCAGGCACTAATATGGAAATCACCTATCCGGTGCATCACAGATGTTGAGCCAAAAAGGCAAAGGGTTAAACCTCATATCAGTGAACATGTAGAAATCGTTATCCTATCTCTTTAAATCTGCTCATCGTCCAGTATTGTTCTCTGCTATTATTTTGATTTAATTTCACAGATTTTGATGATCGCTCTCTTTCCTGTATATGCGATCAGCTATACTTGATTTCCCACCTTGGATTTTCCTACAAACTTAATTTAAGTGTGCAACTGGACTCTCTTTATTATGCCCCAGGTACTCAAAAATATCGAAGTTCATCATATGGTTCGTATAAATTGTCGTAGATTATTGTAACGTCGGGTTTCGCTGACTTTATTGATTCATTGCCAAGTAATGTTCCATATTTCTCAGGATTTATGACAACTGTTTTTCGATATTCTGCATCGAAGCTTTCTTTATTTTGTTGGGGGTTGCCATCCCCGAATAGGCTAACCAATTCTTTTTAATACTCGATCCTGTCCATTACCTCTATTGTGTTGTCCTTGTCTGGCATGGAAAAATTAAATGTTAATTTCAACTACTAAGCTCAAATACTACTAGTTTTTTTTTTTCATTCATGTATTGCATTTTGATTGGATAGCGTAGGCTAATATTTTTAAACAGTGTTGGATTTTACAAAATTCTTCTGAAAGGTATATTTTTCATAATATAAGCACACACACACACACACACACATATATATATATATATATATATATACACACACATGGAGGGTGTATAAAAAGTATTAAGTTTAATATTTACGGTAGACGATGTTAAATGTAATAATTCAAAACACAATTGAAAAATAATATTAAAACCATTGGGTGCGAGTTACATAGACCAAAACAAGGACAAACGTCCATTTAAACATATAAATTGGCGGACAGTTTTATATGGAATTGTGTCCTTGCTTTGTTGTGCGGTACCCGCCCCCAAAGTTTCTAAAAGTATTTTTCTACACTATATATATATATATATAGTTTTAAGTTGTGCTAGATTTATGGAATAAAGTGCTCGATAGAGCGTATGTAAATATAAAAGTGAAAATTGAAGTCAACACTCAGAGGCGGCAGGCTGTTTCATGCTAGACTCGATCGCCAGGCCGCGAGTGTTTTTATTTTCTCCCGACTATTTAAATAGGCGAGAAAAATCAAACACTAGCAACCTAACGATTGCGTTTAGCCTGAAACAGCCTGTCGCCTCTGAGTGTTGACTTCAAGGCTCACTTTTATATTTACATACGCTCTATCGAATTAATCTCAATGTTCAAAAAGAAAACGTGCAATGAGAAAACTTGTATCTACCTAATGTATGGGTGAAAATATTTTTTCAATATTGAACAGTTGATATATTATTTTACATTGGAGTGAATGAAAATATTGATAATATATTTATAACCATAATATAACCTATTCATATTTATTACATACCAGGTTATGTAAATATGTCGATAACTATATCTATTCATTACTTAACAATCTACCTGCTTATCTAACTGTTGAAAACTACATGGAGGACTAGCTTTTTGCAACAAAAAAATCATCATTATTATGATTACTCTTGTAATAATTACAATTATGTCTTACATAATTAGTTGACAATACAGCCTTTCTGTCATATAGACGCACTTATTAAGTCTATATTTTTCCTAAGTTTTTCAAACCGAGGATTTTTAACTCATATATTTTCCTATATGCTATCGAATCAAGAATTCGCTCACGAAATTCGACTTCGAAAGCTATGATAAGCTATCCACGTTACCTGAATTTAAGATAACAGTTTGGCATCTCATGTCACAGAAGATGTATCTGGGACCCATGAAACGCAAAAAAAAGAGGGCTTGAGATTGAAACTAATGATAAAAAGCCTCTGATGGAACCGGCAAAATATAGCCAGAAACAAATTACGAAAGCTGATCGGTGCGCAGGCTGAGAGCAGATCAGACGTAGATGCTGGATATCTTACCACAAGGTAAATATGAAATGGAAATGTTGCCATCGGCTTCATTCCAAGAGATGTGTTTTAGTATTTGCGTCACTGGATGAAAATAAATGTCCCTTGTCCTGGAAATTTTGGCACCATGATAATAATAATAATATTAAGAATTTCGTCATAAGGAAATATTCAGCAGCCAGACCTGCTTTCGTTTGAAATTTATAAAATATTTATATGAAGACGATTCTTCAAGAAAATGTGTTTCTCAACTCCAGTATTTGTGATTGCTTTTCGTATGCTAAAGAGGGTTTCCCTCCTAAATGTTTATTTGAAATAGTGTAACAGCTCAGCATTTGATTGTGACGTTATGTTCATTCGTGTCACATACACCACTTATATGTTGCTGCTGGTAAAATTCCTCAAGTGGTTAGGCTTCTGTCGTTATGGTACTTTGTTTATGATTCTGCAGCGCCAGTCCAAGGATTTCGAAGAGGGATGGTATTCGCTAAGTTATACACGCTGCATTCACTGTAAACCATTTTCATCATTGATCTGAGGAGGTTGCCGTTAAGTGACAGTTTATATATTTCTGAACGAGTTTAGGGCTATGCATGATATGAATGCTTCGAATTGAAGCTATTTATGAAAATAACACTAGTTCTTAGGATAATTTTTGGTTTTGTAGCAAGTATACAACATTTTGTTCTACGTTCAAATGTTTTATCGCCGATGTTAAATTTGCTATAACTAATACATATACTGAGGTAATTCAAGAGTTTAGTATTTGCTCAATCCACACCTAGAATCTTTATGATGTATTTATGATTCGTACTATCAATTCTTTCATCCCAGATCTGTACGTCCTTCCTCATATATATATATATATATATATATATATATATATATATATATATATATATATATATATATATGTTATGCAGACATTAATACAAAGAATCAGACACTCAGAGATTAATACAAGTTAACTGTGGGCTTAATAATCACAACAGATGTTCAAACTAGTGGCCTTCCAGACGTTTATTACTATGGCAAACTAATGCTTGGGTAAAGTTGGCCAAATTGTCTAATGGGATTGCTGCTCATGCATTTTCAATTTCTTATCCAATGGCCGGCTGTGTAATGCCATCTGTTGAAAAAAATTATCCTATTACAGTAAACAGTCTTGATAAAATTACGAAAGCTAAGATTTTTTTTCCTGAGGTGTGTATAAATTTTTATGACGGAATCTGCACACACACACACGCACACACACACACATTTGTGTGCGTGTATGTATATATGTATTTTTGTGTATATATATATGAATATTTTTGTATATATATATATATATATATATATATATATATATGAATATTTTTGTATATATATATATATAATATGCCTATTACAAAGAATCTTTCAAACAAAAGTAAAGTTAATGATATAAAATGGCGAAATCACTTCGCTAACAAAGTTTAAACATGCATTCACACACTAACCACACGATGAATGATATAATCCTTGTTTTTTAAAATTATAAACTGTACTAGCCCTTGCTTACATATGCAAGTATTTCGAAGGCAACGGGGACAAAAAGAATATACAAAATATATTTTAAAATTTTGGGTACCTCGACGTGCTTTAATTATGACTGAGTAGTGAGTGCGATCCTCAGTGGGTGCCCCATACTTTCGGCCTTGTGCCACATCTAAGCCGGGTTTAGAAAATCCCTATATATATATTAAACTTTGATTAGCGAAGGTATTTCGCCAGTTTATATCATTAAATTTACTAACATATATACATATATTTCTGAAATATGTGTATGTATGATATTATATGTATGTAGGTCTATATGAGTGCATATATATATATATATATATATACACACACACACACACACATCTCTCTCTCTCTCTCTCTCTCTATATATATATATATATATATATATATATATATATATATATATATAGGCTCGAGCTAGTGTAATGGTTAGCAAGTTTGTCTCCTGAGAACAATTACGAAGGAGTAGTCAGTTCGATCCTCACTGGGTACCCCTTTACTTTCGGCCTTGTGCCACATCCAGTCTACGCTTGGGAAATCACTATATATATATATATATGTAATACATTTGTGTGTGTATATATATATATATATATATATATATATATATATATATATATTATATTATATATATGTGTTTATCATCCTATTGGATGAATTTAAATTTTATGTATTTTGCTAAATCAAATGTTACTTTAGATAAACTTTATTTCATTATTTTTTCTAATTTTTTTTTTTTTTTTTTTTACTTATTTTCGAAATAGAAATTGTAAATTGCCTACTGGGATTCTTTAAGGTTATTAAGTTCAAAATGTATTTGTAATCACATAATTTTACTCTCGGCAAAAATTAATTTTCCTGAGGAAAAAAGGTGTACTGAAGTCAATTATATCACAAGAGTGTTGAAATCTTGTTTATTTAAATTTGAGGAAATAATGTAGTGGCTGAAATAAGCCGTTATTATTTTATTTCCACACTGTTAGCCAAAATTTGATATCAGTTGAAATATAGCCATTAAATTGTTTCATATTTCATCACATTTCATAATAGATTTTTTATTCGGAATAGTAAGGAATGTGTAAAGAACGCGTCTAAAATAGAAATGTTATGCAGCAAAGAACACGAGGAAGAGAGAGAAATTAAGAAGTTGGAAATAAAGCAAAAGAAATCACATTCGAGGGTTAAATTATGTTTTCCATGACACCTAATTGTTTATAAATTCAGCTTAATAACCTGTTTGCTTTTTTTTTTTTTTTTTTTTTTTTTTTTTTTTACAGTATTTTGAATATTCTCGCTTGCGCGTGGATAAATATGTCGTCAAACTTTCCTGTCTGTCTTGATGCTTCCTGTCTCTGTCCCTCATCGTATTCCATCTCTCTCTTGATCTGCATTCCCTCTCTGCCTTTCATCAATTCCTGTCTCTGCCAGGGTACGCTACTTGCCTCTGTATGTCGCCGATTCTTGGCTCCCAACCTCGCAAGACTTTGCACCCCCCTGACGACAATGCTACACGACTAGCTCTCTCTCTCTCTCTCATTCAAGGATTCTTGCCTCTTTCTCCTACACAATCTGAGTACCTCTTTCTCTCACTTACTCAAGCAATGCTTCTTGTTAGACTCTCTCACTCAGCCAACGCTACTTGTCAGTCTCTCACCCAACGCTACTTGTCAGTCTCTCACCCAACGCTACTTGTCAGTCTCTCACCCAACGCTACTTGTCTCTTTCTCTCACACTCAACGCTTCTTGTCTCTTTCTCTCACACTCAACGCTTCTTGTCTCTTTCTCTCACACTCAACGCTTCTTGTCTCTTTCTCTCTCACACAACGCTATTTCTCTGTCACTCTCTCAAACTCTCCCAACAATTCTTGTCTGTCTTTTTCTCTCACCCAACGCTTCTTGTGTGTCTCTCTCTCACCCAACGCTTCTTGTGTGTCTCTCTCTCACCCAACGCTTCTTGTGTGTCTCTCTCGCACCCAACGCTTCTTGTGTGTCTCTCTCGCACCCAACGCTTCTTGTGTCTCTCTCTCGCACCTAACGCTTGTTGTGTGTCTCTCTCTCATCCAACGCTTCTTGTCTGTGTATGTGTCACTCTAACCCAACGCTTCTTCTCTCCCTCTCACTCGGTGCTTTTTTCTCTTACTCAGCGACTTTTGTCTCTCTCACTCGGCGCTTCTCGATTCTCTCTCTCTCACTCAACGCTTTCTGTCCCCACTCTCTCTCTCTCTCTCTCTCTCTCACTCAACGCTTTCTGTCCCCCACTCTCTCTCTCTCTCTCTCTCTCAAACGCTTTCTGTCCCCACTCTCTCTCTCCTCAACGCTTTCTGTCCTCTCTCTCCTCAACGCTTTCTGTCCCACACTCTCTCTCTCAACGCTTTCTGTCACACTCTCTCTCTCAAGGCTTTCTGTCACACTCTCTCTCTCTCAAGGCTTTCTGTAACACTCTCTCTCTCTCAAGGCTTTCTGTAACACTCTTTCTCTCTCAAGGCTTTCTGTCACACACTCTCTCAAGGCTTTCTGTCACACACACTCTCTCTCTCTCTCTCTCGCTCAAGGCTTTCTGTAACACTCTCTCTCTCAAGGCTTTGTCACACCCTCTCTCTCTCTCAAGGCTTTGTCACACTCTCTCTCTCTCAAGGCTTTCTGTCACCTCTCTCTCTCTCAAGGCTTTCTGTACACCTCTCTCTCTCTCTCAAGGCTTTCTGTCACACTCTCTCTCTCAAGGCTTTCTGTCACACTCTCTCTCTCTCAAGGCTTTCTGTCACTCTCTCTCTCTCTCAAGGCTTTCTGTTACACTCTCTCTCTCTCTCAAGGCTTTCTGTTACACTCTCTCTCTCTCTCAAGGCTTTCTGTAACACTCTCTTCTCCTCAAGGCTTTCTGTCAACACTCTCTCTCTCTCAAAGGCTTTCTGTCACCTCTCCCTCTCTCTCAAGGCTTTCTGTCACCTCTCTCTCTCTCTCAAGGCTTTCTGTCACACTCTCTCTCTCTCTCAAGGCTTTCTGTCACACTCTCTCTCTCTCTCAAGGCTTTCTGTCACACTCTCTCTCTCTCTCAAGGCTTTCTGTCACACTCTCTCTCTCTCTCGGCTTTCTGTCACTCTTTCTCTCTCTGCTTTCTGTCACTCTTTCTCTCTCTCTCTCATTCATTCAACGCTTTTTTCTGTCTCTCTCTCAAAAGGCTTTCGCTTTTCTCCTCTTTTCTCTCTCTCTCTCTCTTGCCAAACGCTTCTTTTCTCTCTCTCTCTTGCCAAACGCTTCTTTTCTCTCTCTCTCTTGCCAAACGCTTCTTTTCTCTCTCTCTCTTGCCAAACGCTTCTTTTCTCTCTCTCTCTTGCCAAACGCTTTTTTCTCTCTCTCTCTTTCTCTCTCTGGCTTTTCTCTCTCTCTCTCTCTCTCGCTTTTGTCTCTCTCTCTCTTGCAAACTTTCTTTTTTCTCTCTCTCTCTTTCTCAACGCTTTCTTTTCTCTCTCTCTCTTGCCAAACGCTTTTTTCTCTCTCTCTTGCAACGCTTTTTTTCTCTCTCTCTCTTGCCAAACCTTCTTTTCTCTCTCTCTCTCTCTTTCAACGCTTCTTTTCTCTCTCTCTCTCTGCCAAACCTTTTTTCTCTCTCTTCTTGCCAAACGCTTCTTTTCTCTCTCTCTCTTGCCAAACACTTCTTTTCTCTCTCTCTCTTGCCAAACGCTTCTTTTCTCTCTCTCTCTTGCCAAACGCTTCTTTTCTCTCTCTCTCTCTCTCTCTCTCGCCTTCGCTTCTTTTCTCTCTCTCTCTCTCTCTCTCTCTCGCCAAACGCTTCTTTTCTCTCTCTCTCTCTCTCATCAAACGCTACTTTTCTGTCTCTCTCTCTCTCTCTTTCTCTCTCTCAAGGCTTTCTGTCCTCTTTCTCTCTCTCTCTCTCAAGGCTTTCTGTCCTCTTTCTCTCTCTCTCTCTCTTCAAGGCTTTCTTTTCTCTCTCTCTCTCTCTCAAACCTTCTTTTCTCTCTCTCTCTCTCTCATCAAACGCTTCTTTTCTGTCTCTCTCTCTCTTCTCTCTCTCATCAAACGCTTTTTTCTCCCTCTCTCTCTCTCCCTCTCTCTCTCTCGCCCAACGCTTTCTGTCTGTCTCTCTCTCTCTCTCTTTCTGTCTCTATCGCCCTGCGTTTTATTTCTCTCTCTCTCGCCCAACGCTGTCTCTCTCTCTCTCGCCCAACGCTGTCTCTCTGTCTGTCTGTCTCTCTCTCGCCCAACGCTGTCTGTCTCTCTCTCGCCCAACGCTGTCTGTCTCTCTCTCGCCCAACGCTGTCTGTCTGTCTGTCTCTCTCTCTCTCTATTGCCCAATGCTTTTTATATATCTCTCTATCACCTAACGATTTCTCTCTCTCACACTATTCCCTTTTAAAATATCTCCATTTGCTGTCTAATTTTAACCTTCTTTCACTCCACCCTCATTTCCCAGGTTTTTATTTACTTTTCCTTTTTTCATTAAGTGTATATTGCACAAAATTATCACTTTTAATAACACTTTTTGGCGTCTTTATTCACAGCATTATTTTTTCCTTTTCTTTTTTCTCTTTTTTTTTACTCTCTCCATTTCAGCGTTTCCTAAAACCTAGAATACCTCTTATTTCTTTCCCTCTACCTTTCCCTTCTCAACCGTAATCGCATATTCCAAAGGCTGTATTCGGAAGGGTCCTACTTCATCGGTAATCGTATGTCTTCCACGAGCCAGACGGTCATATTAAAGCAAAAATAGCGATAGATTTCCATTTTCGTTGCTCGTACAGCGCAGCGAAAAGCTTCCGCCAAGATCACGACCCAAGTGTTAGACTATTAATAACGTCGAGATATAAACTGCACCACGTGTTTCCGATCATCTTACGCACTGAAAAGCACGCAGAAAGTTTTCCAACCGCCCGTGCCATTTAAACAATCAGAAAGCGTTTCTGGAATCACGCCATTTGCACTCAATCATTGATGGTTCAATGCAAGCCACTCTGTAACGGCGGTTCACTCATTTAACTTCGATTTACCGCCTGCAGTCTCAATATAGGAACGGGGTTGGCTTCTAATCGATAAAGAGTCCCTAAAACCTAAGGTTGGAAATGCATGAATAAAGATTAATCGACAGAATGAGACCGTATGCACTTTGACACAGACATTTCTATCAGCTTACAACCATATTCTGATTTATGAATTTACGCAGCATGTGGAACGAGTAGGTAAAAAAAGAATTTTTAAGAAAACATTTTTTGTTTTTTTAATCTGCATTCACAAAATTGATCCTTCTGAAACTTTCAGATTTGTATTGCATATAAGAGATACACTTTCGTAAGAAATACTTAAAAAAAAAAAAAAAACATTTTCTGCTGATATTTAAACGTAGGTTAGATGAAGTATCCAGTGAGGATCGAACTCACAACTCAGTCCTAATTGATCTAGCGAGCAAGCTTGCGAACCATTGCAGCACGTCGAAGTGCCCCATTATTTTCAAAACGTAGCTTAGATGTGGCACAAGTCCGAATGTATGTGAAGCACCCAGTAAGGATCGAACTCAATACTCCGTCGAAATTGATCTTGGGAGACAAGCTTGCCAGCCGTTACACCACATCAAAGTTCCCTCAACCAATACCTTTTAAGTATTTACATAGAAATTTAATATCAGTACTAGATATTTACTGTGTCTCTCCACTAAGATGAGTTGTGACACAAGGTCTTTTTTATTTTTTTTAATGTGTCCACCCGAGCGCGTAAACCCGGGCCAGGAACAAAAATTGCCCGCAGCACCCGCAACCGTCGGTTGTGCTGGCCTCGGTGCGAGCACTGATCCCTCTCTCTGGTGCAAAGAGAAGGCACGGCCTTGGGCAGCTGTTCCCCAGGACTGGCCACCTCTCAGTATAATTGTTCTCAGTTGCACCTCTGTCCTTTGACAGAGTCGACCTGTAGTGCACTCTGCCCAAAGACGGAGACGCAACTGAGATATGATAAATAGATATTACAAACCCCTCTAAAGAGGAATTTACACTAGTGATTTTCCAAGCGTACATTAGATGTGACACAAGGACGAAAGTAGGGAGTATCCAGTGAGGATAAAATTCATTACTCAGTTCTAATTGATCTAGCAAGACAAGATTTCGAACCATTGCACTACGTCGAAGTTCCGCGTGATTTTCAAAACGTAGCTTAGATGTGACACAAGTCCGAAAGTGGGGGGAGCATCCAATGAAAATCGAACTCAATACTCCGTCGAAATTGATCTTGCAAGACAAGCTTGCTAGCCGTTACACCACGCCGTATAATTTCACTGCTGGAATTACTAAATATAACTGCAAGTTCTATGGCAATATTTTCTTCTACCGCACTTCTAGTTTGTGGAACTCTCTTCCGGCTTCCTTTTCTTCCTGCCAACTCAGTCAGTTATATGCCATGCGTGATACACACGTAAGCGATCTTTCGATACATGACTGACGATGTAATTTGTCCCTGCAGTAGGTTGTCATTTCTTTCTGCGGTAGACCAGTTGCCACCCAGAACTACAGAACCCGGTCTGTGCTGCTATTTATCCATACCTGGGGTGGGGGAAGAAATGAATTCCTCCCTTTCCCAAGGTTTATTAGCACTAAAGTAAATGTAATGGATTCGAGTGGAATCCAAACTCGGCCCTCCGTAAACTACGATTATCAAAAACTAAATCAACTTCTGCCTTCTTGAAGCCTGTTCTTTTAATGTCTCCTCTGTTTTTTTCTTATGCTCAATTAGGTCTAGCTAAATTTTATCGTTATACATGGGGTAAACTGATTAAAGAAAAAAATTACTCTAAATATCGTTATGTTAATACAACTATTTTAATATAATGTTATATATTTTTAAAGTTATGTATATGACTATAAACTACATCCGAAAGCAAGGCCGCTGATCGGGAGAATGAAGGTTTTGAGGAACGTGAAACTATATCTTGATTGCTGCTGTTTCTAAGTTCACTTTGACCCGCACTGGTAACACCTGTTATATTCCCAGATATTGGCAAACACTGAAAGCCGAAACAAAAGCAAAACACTAAGAAATATAAAAATACAAACGATACTTTTACTATAAATTACCAGCAATACCTTTTTATAGTAAAATGTCCGACAATAAATTTTATTCGTAATTGTGGGTATTGCGTTCAAAATACATTTCGGCATCAAATCACCCGTAGAGTTTGATATGCTACTAAACAAAATAAACCAAATACATTTATAACAGGTTTAAAAGCCGCCCTATCGGTCAGCAATTAAACTAGCTCCTGCGGAGTGATCCTCATTTGACTTTCGGCTTGTTCTGTACTTTGAGTCCCTCAGTCTTTGCATATTTTCAGGATTGGAAGCTTTACTGGCTGCCATTTTGTCTGTGTTTTCATTCACTCGGAACTCTCTTTTTCTCGCTGCAGCCTCAGCGCTTTTGATTGCAATCTGGTCCTCTGTTAGCGAAGATTTCTTTTTATGAAGCATACTGCTGCTGTATGTGATAGGCAACAATAAACTACAGAACTCAAAATTGATCGCTGCATTTAAGCATTGCATTAAAATTTAGGTTACCTTTCAAAAGTTCAATGGTAAATCTTCTGCCGCCACTTAATTTAAAGACAGTTTGATGTACGTAGGCCCTTACTTTCCGTGCAAACAATTATTTTTATTTCATGAGTGACTTTCACAGAATTCGCAATTAATTTCATATTCGTCGCTAAAAATCACGTAAAAGCATCGCCGAAAACAATGAAATCTTAGGAAACCCAAATTTCTGGATAGTGAGTTCGCATCGTGCCTGGAATGTTTTTAATTAGCTCACGTAGTCGGATGATTCCAAAATAGTATTATATGCTTGACTAGAGCCTCTACGAGTAAAGTTAAAAAAGTGTGACACACTGACATTCACATTTATTTCTATGGAAGTAATATCGATTCACACTTTTTAATGCACCTTTTTTTACATAATTCGATACCAGATACAGACGTTTGCTCTTGGAGATATCGATGATTTCCTTGCCTGTACTTGCACATTGGAAATGAAACAAGAATAACCACAAATACATCTTTTTCTTTTCTGTTTTCAATTACCATATCTAGAGAATGGCTTAAGGTAAGTTTTCTGACAAAAACAGAAAAATTTACAACGTGAGATTACTAATAACATTTAGTGATTGATAACTGCTGACAGCAAAGGTAACACTAGCTGGATTTTGAAACGATCCCTTTATTCAAATCACGGGAGTAGCTTGTTCACATTCAGCTTTCTCTGTTTAAGTGTTATTTTATATTAGTTAAGACATTCTTCAATAAACCAGAATATGTCAATTTTCAGCATTTCCAAATATCAGGATTGAATTCATAACTGGCAGGAAACAGGATATGTTTGAAATAACGCTTCAAACCGGAGTTTCTAAAAATTATATTCATTTTTTTTTCTATGCATCTTTTGAAATATTCAATCTATTCCATGGACGTATTACAGATCTCCACCCACATGTTATTTTTCCTTAGCTTATTTTCTTTTACTCCTGCTTGGGTCTAGTTTTCTACTGGTTTTTAAATAGAATTATTTTGTTTTATTTTCATCGTGATGCTCTAAGATATGCACCTTACTATCAAAGTGGTCTCCTTTCTTTCATTCCATTCAAGTGGTCTGAAGATCCCGTGAGCGTGAAAATCTGATTAAGCCAAGGGCCATCCTTTCATAGCAATTAACGTTGTCAAGCGTCTTTTGCTCTGTCCAGGTGATCTAGGCGTTGAGCACTTTAATCTACTGAGTAGGTAGGTGTTTGCCGTTAGGTCTTTTTTTTTTGGGGGGGGGGTCATTGCTGTCCTTCATCAAGATTTTCTCTTGTTTAAGTGTATTTAGGTCTTTGGTTTATATATATATAATATATATATATATATATATATATATATATATATATATAGTGGACTCTCCCGTCGTACTTGATATATGAGGGTCAAGCAGATCCGTTCCTAGGAACCGACTGCCCAGACACCAGCACATTGGATTTGATTATAGTGGTGAAGGCTTTGTGCAGAACCAGCGACACTTTTTGAAGCACTTGGTGCACTACGTACGACAGGGACCCCAAACAACCTTCGGCAGAGTTGTCATTCGCCTAGACCAGTTGCCATCCAAGGCTATAGAACCCCGTCTGTCCTGCTATTTACCCATAGCTGGAGGGAGAAGAGGATTAATACCATTCCCAAGGGTATTAGCACATAAGTGAATGTAATGGATTCGACTGGAATTCGAATATATATAATCATAGGTTGTATACAAAGCCTTTTTTCTTAAATCGTTGTTTAAAATGGCTACCAGCGAATGAAGCGTGTAAGTCAGTGAGGACTATACATCTTCAGACATGGACTGGCGTTACAAAATAGC